GACTTAAAATAGCCATCTGTAGTAAATAAATAGAATCTGAAAGTCTTGAAAGTCAAGAAATGAAAAATACAAACACAATATACACTACCAGTCAAAGGATTGGGCACATTTTCTCATTTAGAAAATATAACAATGAAAGCCAAAATATCCATCCACTGTGGGCTAGGTTTTCAGATAATAGCTTTATGGGACTCAACTTTTTCTGGCTATTTTGACAACCAATGAGATTACTCCATACTACTTCTAGTCAACTGCATGTAAACGTGGTTACGTTACTACAATCATATCTGTCAACCTGTCCATCTAAAATTCAATTACATAGATGTGTGCAAGATATTTATTTCCATTATTTAATTAACAAGAGAGTTAAACTGACACATAATGGTAACGTACCGGGGTTCAAAATAGACTAAGGCTGGGATGAAATAGTCAGTACTAACTAGCTAATTGCCTTGAAACCAACTAAACAAACAAATAAACAACAACAAACTCAAAAAATGACTGTGGACAGAAAAGAAACTTAAATTGCAGCAAAGCTTACCACCAAAAAATGGAAAGGTCTTCAACACTTTTGAAGAAACATTGAGCAGGATATGTTTGCACGATTAAAGGAACGTCACTTATTGGAAGCAGAATATAAAGAAATGGTGGATGAATGAAGACCTTTGCAGTGATTTCTACAGATAGACTGCAGGCTATAATTGCAACTACAATTTATGGGTGGGAGAAATGTACAACATTTGTTCCTGACACAAGAAGCAAAACATTACAGCACTGACTTGGTGACACATCCTGCCCTCCCCTGTGGCCTTCATCCTATTGGCCAAGAACAAGGGCAAGCCTAACACTGGAAAGACTGGGAGTTATTCTGTTTTCCCGTTTACTTCATTAGCTGTGAATTATCTCTGTCCACTGAGGCCAGCCGACATGCATCAATAGTTTTATGATCTCCCTGAGGAAAGAATTAACGGGTATTAAAAACAGCCTGGGAAGCTCATCTGAGTCTAAACAAAACAAAACGATAGTCACAGATTTAATATTATATATATGTGTAATGAGTCATATCAGTTTTAGCTGAGAGAATAATAATTACAACAGTGGTGATTGCTTTAACTAGAGAGCAAAAACAAGGAGCAGCCTGCCTTGTTATTATAACCATTGTCAGTGACACCTGCAGCCTTTCTCCGTGATTTAGTCGGGGTCTCTGCCATCAAAGGCTAAAATTTGACTGGTTGCTAAGCAATGGGAAAACAAGACATGCCAATATCACAGGCAGCTATTTTGTTTTCTTGAGAGCATACACCGTCCACTGTGGCGTTTTTCTTGAAATACGATTGTTGGGTGACCTCTCGTCAACACAACACTGAAGTGTGGCCATGGAAACCAGGAGCAGCTCAGACAGCTAAACAAAGATTACTGTTTTTTATTATCAGTGAGACAATTACCGCATCTACTTGTGTCAGTTTTCTTTCAAAACTGTAAAAAAAAAAAACGTAAAACAAAAGAAAGAGTGTTATCATTTTGTCATGTTAAAACCCCAAACAGCAGTATCTTATTGTGAATTTTTGTGAAAGACTGACACAAAATATTGTATATTTGTAAAGTGGGAGGAATAGCATGCATTTCTAGTCAGCCCCCCTCACATGTCTAGAGACTGAAATTTTAACCCTGTCTTCTCTGCAAAAAAAGGTTGCGTTCACTCAGATAAGAGTGTCTGTGAACATCAAGACTTGGCATAGATTCTTAATTAGAATTACCTCTGGAGATTTATTGGGTCCTTCTGACACTTGAACATAATTTGAGCTAAACCATTTAATTGTAGCTCTGGTTGGAGGTCTACTGTCGTCAACCTGCAAGAGAAAGAACCTCCACCCAAGTCTCAATTCCTTCCCAACTGGAAACAGGGTTTATTTGAGGAGTACATGGCATTTAACTGGCATTTAACTACATCCGTCTTCCCAGCAACTGTGATTAACTTTTCTGTTCCTGCTGAAAAAAGCCTCACAACATGATTTTTGCCACCACCATATTTCACCGTGGGGAATATGCCTTCAGGGTGATATGCAGTTTTGGTTTTCCACCATGCACAGGGTTTGCATGTTAGTTCCACTCTGGTCTCTTCTAACCAATCCACCTTTTTCTAAGTTTGGTGGCTCTTGGAAAAGTGGAAACTGGACTCCTTCTTCTTCTTGTCAACATGGGCTTTTATACACTTCTTAGATTTTTATTTGTAAATAACCTTCTTTCACTTTACAGCTATATGCTCCTTTGTGTTAGCCAGTTACATAAAATCCCAATAAAACAAACTGTATTTGTGTCAGGCTGTTAGCAACAAATGACATACAGGTTTAGCTGTCTGTTATATAAAGACATAGCAATGGTTAACTCTTTTAGGTAATGGTCATGAAAGATTAATAGATTTTTTATTTATTTGTCAGCACTATGCACAGGAATGTTTATCTCACAACAGAAAAGATGCATTGCACCAAATTTAGCTACGACTGTCGTCCTTTAGGCAGACAAAAAAGTTTAAAAATACAAAAACAAAACACTTAAAATATAACTGGAGAGTTAAAACAGCTCTACTGTAAATCATATTTTAAGTTAACACATATCTAACACATTTACACTTCCTAGTTTCTTTGTCTGATTACTGCATTTAAACAGCAAGCTTGAAAGAACATAAAGTGGAGAATTTTTAACAAGGAAAATATTAATATCTGTTTTACAAAGACACAAAAGTGTCATCCTTCAGCGAACGGACTTGACCCACATGCAGAAAATACACTCTGGAGAACAGCTGAGTTTCTTTAAAAGGTTTATTTACAGGGGGACAAAATAAGTGAAGAGGGGAAGTCGGTGATGATAACTGTAGGAGGGAAAAGGAACAAGTGAGTGACGAAATAAGGCTGTGGTAGGTTTTCTTATGATAAGTCTGTGTCTTACTTGATAATGGAAGAGGTCTGCCAAGAGGAGAGGGATGCGGGGCCTGGGAAGTGCTGCGGAGATGTTTTGGAAGGTAAGTCCTTGACTGTGGCTAGAGATAATCCAAAGTTGTGGCTGGGCACTAGGTGAGGCACGGCGGAGGCTGGACAGGGTTCGTCTGCGAGGAGGCGCATAGAAAGCGGAGCCAGGTAGCTGCCAGCTAGAAGTGGGTCCGAGAGGGTAACTGTGGCGTAGACTCTTGGTACGTTGACTGGTTCTCGTTCTGTAGCCAGAGGTCATGACCTCTGTGGTTTGGAAGCTGGGTGTCTCGATAGATCCAGAAGAATCCGTTGACCTGGGACGGAGAATACCAGAAATTAATCAAAGCCTCAATCTTTAGAAAACTGTTGCGTTAACATAGTACGTGTGCTTGAGGTGTACCACAAATGGCTAACACTCGAGCGAAGAAGTACTGACAGATCCCTACTTAAATATCCCCAGATGTTCATTAGCAGATGAGATACACCTGTCGCCTCTCACCAGTGGACACTAGCGCCATCTAGGGGCTAAGCACAGTAAGCAGCAGGAAAAAAAAAGAACAGCAACACATAGAAACTCCCATACCCCGATAAAAAAAGAGTAGTACAAAGTAAAACAACAAGATATGACAAGAGAGTCTGGGCTGTCTGAGCTTAGGTTACAGGTTTTAAATTATTGCAAAAGGAACAATTTAAAAGGGTTTCTTGACTGAATGTGGCCTGCCCCCATTGAAATGAATGCCATGCGGAGTCATTTATTATAATTGTGTTTTGATCTTTATAACTCACCTATGATGCATGTGATTTTGGCTGCAGTAAAGTAAAGTTTGAGATGTTACTGTACTCTTTAGGTCATAGTCTACTATCAATGTGAACTTTTTGTTTACTTTGCCTTCTTGTACTTGCTTGTCTTCTTTTTTTTTATAATTTACACACATTTTCTCTTTTTTTCATTTTCATTCTTTACCCCTTTAAGTAAGAAGAGGGTAGAAATCAAACTATCTATCTTGTATTGTGTCAGATATACCTCTTTACATACTTTTACTTTCTAACCTCTACTGCCTTCATCTTCATCTTGATTCCCATGCTCATCCTTATCAGTCTCACTTTCTCCTGGCAAGTATTCTTGCATCTCATCATCTCCATTGCTTGTTGCTTCTATTTCATCTTCACTATGCTCAACTGGAAGTGTGATTGGCACTCTCTCCTGCCTTGAAGTGGTACAAAATAAGGCTGAATTCATTTTGTGAATGGAGGAAAATGTGTGGAACTGATAAACAAAAAGACAGTCCAGGTTTTACCTTAACAGTAGGCTGTAGTCCACAGTATGGTAATAGCCTGAACCTTATTTTACTGCAAGCTACATGTTTCACATGGTTCTTCTTTAAATTGCAAATATCAAACAAAATGACTATAAATGACATGCCTTTGAACAGCATATATACCTAAACAAAGGCCATCAAAATGTTAATTGTTATTACCCAGCTCAAATATTATTGAAGAATATTAAAAAATATGTTTCTATCAGGAATGTTAGTCAAAGCAGTGATGTATGGATGTTCATGAGAGACGAATTTCAATAAGTGTTTTAATGTGTACCGTAGTTGTTGAGGGCAGATCATAAAGGTTCACTGTTGCCTCAGGGCAACATATGCAATTTTCCATAATGGTACATAGTTGCCTTAGGGTTGCATTTTAGCAATTCTATATTATGTCATTGAGAAAAAACGTTATTAAACAATCAAACATTACACTTTATTCATCCATTAGTGTAAATAGCTTCCTCCTGGATGGAAAAAATAAAAAAGGGTTAGAATATGGCTTAAAGAAAGTCATGTGACTTTGTTTTTTTCCACATGTTGCTTTTTTCAAAGGTATGCATTTTGGAGATGTGAGAAGCCTAAAATGGGTTTCTTGTCTGTGGGCAACATGGCAACTATAGATGATTAAATACAAACTCATATCTTCTTGTAGATCCATCTGATATAATCTGTGCAGCTACATGGTGTTTCTATCATATCAAAAAAAACAGTCACAGGCGGTGATGGTGTAGGGGTTAAGCGTGCGACCATGTAGGAGGCTACAGTCCTCAAAGCGGCTGTCCAGGGTTCGAGTCCTGGACCCGCCGATATTTGCTGAATGTCTCCCCCTCTCTCTAGCCCTCTTTCCTGTCTGCCTACTGTCTAAAAAGGCTACTAGTGCCAAAAAAGTTTCTTTAAAAAAACAGCCACCCACAATTTACGTTGAGGTGAGTCATACACACTAGGTCATTTTTGCAGTTGCAACCTGAAGTTGCAGACTTTGAAACTGCAGTCTGGTATGTATGTGAGAAGAATTAGGGTCACCTACAGTGCTGCCACCATGTTATGGCAACAAAGTGACTTAAAAGAGCTTTCTTTTCCAAGTTTTTAATCCACTCACATTTTATAAATATTTTAACACAAAAGGTTTGTGTTTTAAGAAAGTAAATCCAGTAACTGACATTTATTGGCTAATATTTTGTGTTAATATTGATGTCTTCCTGAAGTCTAACTTGCAGATATGAAGAAACTCAATTGGATCAGGTGCTTGAAAGAACTAGAGAAGACAAGGCCACCCTGGTTTGCCAAAGAGCCAAGCCAGTCGACTAAAGGCCGCAAGCAGTTGCCAGGCAACACTATCCCTATCGCTGCAGGAAGTGAAGTCGAACAGAACATTAATCACTTTCAGCTCCATCTCACCAGCATCACAGCGCTAGATACACACATACACACACACAGTCATACAGAGGTTTCACTGTGGGTTCAGACTCACTGCTTTTTTTTTTTTTACAAGGTTTTCTCTTCCCATGTATGCATATATGTATGTAAGTAAGAGAATAAATCCCTGAGAGAAAGTAATGACAATTTTGTCTGTCAAGAATCCCAGCAGACTGCAATTACGTGCACTGTGTAAACATTGTTTGCTTGTTCCTGGAAACAAGTCAAACCAGCTTCAGCAGATTCATCTTTCAGTGCTTTATTTAGCTCAGAACATTATTAAAGCAAATAGTAAAACATATTTAAAAGGCAACTTTTACTTCAGATGTGTTTGTTTCTTATCCTGGAAAAAAGATAAAAGAAAAAGAGCCAAAATATAAAACTGGGAGAATGTAGCTTAAAAGTTTTTATATTAAACTAAAAGAGTGCAGCAGTCAATGAAGTATAAAGATGAGATTAGAAAAAAAAACTGGATCAAAGATCCATCTACATATTAGGGATGTCCTATCCAAAATTATTTTGTTCCAGATAACAACCCAAGTCATTTAATAATTGGCTCTCATTGGCATCAAGTCCCAATCTGATACTGCAGTCTCTGCTATCAGCTTTTCTTGACAGAGACAGATATTTTGTCAAAACAGGAGTTTCTGCATCTCAGTCTTAATATGCTGCTCCAACACAGGTTAAACCAGCACATTGCTTTATATATATGCGTACCATTGTATGAATGTGTGCACAATTGTGAGTGCGTTTAGGTGAATGTGGCTCTAGTGTAAAGCGTTATGAGTGGTCGGTATGACTGGAAAGGTGCTATATAGGTTCAGTCCATTCACCATTTAATCATTTAAAAATAAAAGCCTTGGTCAGGACGTTGATTGGGACAGTGGGGTCCAAACCTCATCACCCCAATTCCCCCCAAATAGTATTAAAATTAATGTAACGTTGTCTATTTGCAAATAAAGCTTTTTTTTATTTGCTGTAACATTTGTGGCATAGACATGCTTTTACTATTATAATTTCTGCTATTCAGTCTGATTTTTTAAAATAATCTCAACATTTGTCTACTGAGGTCCTAACCCCAACTTTGGGAAGCACCAGCTTAGATCCAGCGTTACTTTAAACCACAGAAAAAGATTAAGGGTGAAGTCTTCAAATTGGGTACAAATCTGGTAACTCGTGTCACAGGCAAAATTAGGTGTGGCTTGATAAAATCATTTGAACAAGCTGATAGATTCTGGTACATTTTGAATGTTGTGATTAGGAATGATTCTGTTCTTAAAATTACCTGATAACAAAACGCTTGCATTTTCTCACTTCCTGACATGATGAAATTCAGTTGGGGGGAAGGTTAGCTTAATTTTTGCTCTTTTGGAAATAAATTTATATTTTTTACAGAACAATTGGAACAAGAGCAGAATTTAAAGAAAGAGTAGCAAAAATTCAAACATGCACAAACAATATTTACAATCAATTAAGAAAGTACGACAGAATTGGTACCCTGATGCATAAACAAAAGAATGACCACATTTTAAAATATTAAAATCATATAGGGCTGCATGGTAGGACTGTCTTGCAGCAGGAAGGCCCTGAGTTCAAATCCTGATTTGGCCTATGGAGTTTCCATGTTCTCCTTGCACATGCGTGGGTTCTCTCCAGGTACTCTAGCTTTCTCCTACAGTCCAAAAACATGACTGGTAGATTAACTGGTTTCTCTGTGTATGCGTGGTTGTTTTTCATGTGTCTCTGCGTTGCCCTGTGATGGACTGGCGACCTGTCCTGGCTGTACCTCGCCTCTCGCCCAATGACCACTGGAGATAGGCACCAGCCTGACTGCGACCCTGCAAGGATAACCTGGTATAGACAATATATGAATTGATCATATCGCATAATGCAATCAAAATGGAATTAATGACTTTAAAATGATCCCATGTTTTGACATATTTTAACATTGTCTGAAGTAATACACTTTGGCACTATGAGTGGGAGGCTATAGCAGCTTAATGGCAATGTACCGGCCCTCCCAGCTTTGCCAAAAATATGAATTACAGCTGCAGCTCTGTGAATCAAGGAGACTTCCCAAAAAAAAAAAAAAAACAATCTCAGAAAGCAGTTTGTGGGTGGATTCACTTGAATAAAAGAGCTGACAAGGTGTTCCCTCTGCACAATTGGCGTAGACTTCATCAAAAACATAAACAATGTGAGCCCAGAGTGTAAAAATACCCAGAGCTGCAAAACAGACTGGTGGCCGTCTGCAATCCCAAAGCTCTCATCCACAAAAAAAAAGGCCCTGATGGCAGGATTAAAGATGTTCCCTTTAAATACCCAAGGATTTTTTTTTTTGTTGGATGTCTCTTCAGTTTTAAGGCCTTCAAAGACTGATATAAATACGACCGAACTGTCTGTGTGCAAAGTTAAGACACCTGGCAATACCTTAATCACAGCTGAATCACGCAGATTACTCACTGTAGACTAAAATAATTACTCAATTTACATAGTCCACTGTAGTGTCTGAGAGCCTACGTATATGGAGACAAAATAAAAATAGTAGCACTACTCAGAACACGTAGTCACTGTCGAGACACTCAGCTGTCAGATGGTTATAGGGATGATATGAAGGAAGGAGGAGGGAAGAATGTGGCAGTTTTGTTTCACATTGTGCCACATGTGAGTGAAATCTGTGCCTTTCTTTATAAGAGAAAAAAATCTGGCTCAGATGTCAGAAATTAAAAATATGCCCCATTTAGAGAAATGTAGAAATGCATTAACTGTTCCTGTTTGTTTTACAGCAAACCTGCAGATGAACAGAGATCAACAATGACCAGCATTAATATTTAATGCTGATACGCAGATGTTTCTGTATTCCGTTTCAAATAGAGCACAATTGTTAAGCGGGAAGAAAATCATACTTGGTTTTTCCAATTGAAAATCTGAAAATGCCTGTATTTGTATTCAGGCCCCTGAGTCAACAGTTTATAGAACCACCCTTTGCTGCAGTTGCAGCTGGAAGTCTTTTGACGTATGTCTCTACCATCTTTGCACATATAATTTCCCCCATTCCTTTAGACAAAATGTTTTTAGCTTGGTCACGTTGGATAGAGTGTGTCTGTGAATATCAGTTTTCTTACCTTGCCACAGATTCTCAGGTGAATTTATGCCTGGACTTTGACTAGGCTGTATTTACATTACTGTCCTTTAATCAAAACCATTTTATTGTAGCTCTGGCTGTATCTTTAGGGCCATTGGCTGAAAGATGAACCTCTACCCCAGTCTCAAGTCTTTCTTCCAGCTTCTAACAGGTTTTTCGTCCAAAGCATTCCCACCGCATAATCCTGCCACCACCATGCTTTATAATGGGCATGATTTGTTCAGGATGATGTGCAATGTTAGCTTTCCACCACAAATTGCATTTTGCATGTATGTTAAAAGGTTACATTTTGGTCTTATATGACCAGAGCACCTCCTTTTACATGTTTGTTGTGTCTTCTACATATTTTTTGACAATCTGCATGTAGGCTTTCACATATATGTGTCTTTCAAATAGCCTGGGTTTGTGGAGTGAACAAACAGGGTTAGGGTCTTCATGATAATGTTTGTTCACCAATGATCACTAATAACCTCTGAGGCCTTTACTGAACTGCTGGATGTATACTGAGATTAGATTACACATAAATGGATTCTATTTAGGGTTATAAGAGTTAAGGGGTGTGAATGAAAAACCCCACATTAGAAAAATGCTTTTTTTTTGTTCCACTTCACAATTATGCACTATACTTGTGCTGGACTGTTAAATACAATCCCAGTAAAACCCATTAAGGTCTGGTTATTTGGCCACAAGGCCTATTATAGAACCTAATTACGACGATTTTAATGTGTTTCCTTCTGTATCTTCATGCCATGAGGAGTTGTTTAGCTTGAAAATCATAATCATTCCTGTCATATGCGCTGTATTATCCGGCTCTCTGTGGACTTTTCCGTTTCCTCTCCTGGGCTTTCAGCGCGTCTTTGGCGCGGTCACTTTCAGTAAACAGCGCATATTGAGTTTGAGTGCATTACCGATAAACGAGTCCACCACTGCAGCAGCAGCTCTGCGTGGAAAGAGCCGCATGCAGGCCTGCGTGGAACCGCAGGAAGCCTGTCATACATCGACATACATTTCTAATGATCCCTGTGGCTTGTGCTGCTGATCAGACCGGACTTGAGCCGAACCTGCACCAAAATGCGCCAGTTACGTGAAAGAGACGTCTGATCGCTGCGGAGTAAAGCATTCTAATAAATAAGAACCAGAACCTGATAACTACATGATGATGCTTAATTGAATGAACGCGTGTTTTCTGCGCTTTACGTAAACTGCTGTTTTGGTTGGGGGTTTTTTGCGTAATTTTGCGCCGGG